CTTGCGACAAGTGTAATAACATACACAGGGTGCTTCTGGGGGGAGATGAGAAAAATAAAATGCTATATGCCATGCACATGCACAGTAAGATCTATCTGGTTGTAAATGTAAAAAACTGTCCCTAGAGAAGTCTAGCTTATAGGCTAATTGGACATTAGTGAATAGAAGGATGAGAGAGACTGAAGCAATTTTGCCTACCTCTAGCATAAAGCAAATCAGGGGTATAATACAGAATGCAGAGATGAAACAGTTAGTTAGAAATTGACATTGTTTTAAATCCTTTCTCCCTTGTGCTAGCTTTCCACAAGGAGAAACACTTCAAACAAGCAAATTCCTTCCCATGCATAGCTGAGGTGAAACAGTATTGTAGGGGAAGACTGCCCTTCTGACCATGCAAAACCACTCTGAGTTCTTCTTTGGCGATCCCTCATAGCCAAGTAAGATTATCTTCCATGAACACGGTCTTACCAGTGAGTCCGTAAGTGACTGTGGAGGCCAATTCTGGATCCGCACGTCTTTCCACAGTGGGGACATAGGCTTCCGGGCAGGAGTTGATCATGGTGAGGGTTTACCAAGCATGCCTTCCTCTTAGCTTGTCTGTTCTTTTCACTCTGAGTTCGTGCTTCTTCAAGGTCCATGACACCTTTGGTAAAAGGTGTTCTTCAGCTGGAGCATTTGCAGGTGTTTCCCAGTTATCAGTGCTTGCGTTATATCTTTTTTAGATTTATCAACAGGTGGCTGGCACATCCCTGCAGTCTTATTTTATTTGCGTTTACATTGAAATCACAATGCATCTCCAATAGTTGCAGATTGATTTCACTACATGGGATGTTGTTTATAAGAATCAGTAACCACACAAGAATTGTATGGAAGAATCTGTAAAATTTTATATAAACCGAGCTTGGTCCATGGAGTGCAACCATATAACTTTTTTCAGCTGTTTAGGGGAGGTCTGGGTCCCATTACTCCCAGCAGAACAAACTCCATTCTTTTCCAACAGGAAAGTAATTTTCTCTTGTTTTTGCATCATGGATCCTACTGAGTTATGATTTATGTATCAAGCATCAAGAAGTGTGCATACGTATTGCATTCAGAAAGGAAAAAAATTACCAAACATAAATGATTTGTGGGAAATGATGCTTTATATTAATGCTTGCATGCTGCCTTTATAGCACTGAACAAATTAAGGATTATTTAGTACTGTGGTTATAAAAATGCATATTTTTATGTGGGGTGCCTCAGGGTTCTGTCCTCTCCCCCATGCTTTTCAACATCTACATGCAGCCACTGGGAAAGATCATCAGGGGGTTTGGGCTAGGTGTTCATCAATATGCGGATGATACCTAGTTCTGCCTTTCTTTCAAATCAGAACCAGTGAAGGCAGTGAAGGTCCTGTGTGAGTGTCTGGAGATGGTTGGAGGATGGATGGCAGCTAACAGATTGAGGCTGAATCCTGACAAGACAGAAGTAATGTTTTTGGGGGGACAGGAGGAGGGCAGGTGTGGAGGACTCCCTGGTCCTGAATGGGGTAACTGTGCCCCTGAAGGACCAGGTGTGCAGCCTGGGAGTCATTCTGGACTCACAGCTGTCCATGGAGGCCCAGGTCAATTCTGTGTCCAGGGCAACTGTTTATCAGCTCCATCTGGTACGCAGGCTGAGACCCTACCTTCCCGCAGACTGTCTCGCCAGAATGGTGCATGCTCTAGTTATCTCTCGCTTGGACTACTGCAATGCGCTCTATGTGGAGCTACCTTTGAAGGTGACCCGGAAACTACAACTAATCCAGAATGCAGCAGCTAGACTGGTAACTGGGAGTGGCCACCGAGACCACATAACACCGGTCTTGAAAGACCTACATTGGCTCCCAGTACGTTTCCGAGCACAATTCAAAGTGTTGGTGCTGACCTTTAAAGCCCTAAACGGCCTCAGTCCAGTATACCTGAAGGAGTGTCTCCACCCCCATTCTTCTGCCCGGACACTGAGATCCAGTCCCTAGGGCCTTCTGGTGGTTCCCTCGCTGCGAGAAGCCAAGTTACAGGGAACCAGGCAGAGGGCCTTCTCAGTAGGGGCACCCGCCCTGTGGGACACCCTCCCACCAGATGTCAAAGAGAACAACAACTACCAGACTTTTAGAAGACATCTGAAGGCAGCCCTGTTTAGGGAAGCTTTTAATGTTTAACTGACTATTGTATTTTAATATTCTGTTGGAAGCCGCCCAGAGTGGCTGGGGAAACCCAGCCAGATGGGCGGGGTATAAATATATTATTATTATTATTATTATTATTATTATTATTATTATTATTGCTCAAATAGAAATGTCAAAACAGACATCTATGTTTACAGCAACATTTCAGATTTAAAATTCATTAAAAGCTGATATGTAATGCTACTTTGATAATCTGTATCTCTTCTGAGTTATTTATTGTAAGCTTTGAAGAAAGTACACCATGTATATTTTCATTTCCTTTGGTTTGCCAACTGAAACTGAACATGGAAAGTGAATTGAAAATCAGTGCTATTTGGTCGTCTGTTCTGCCTCAGCAGTATGCGGTGTCAAATACCTCTTCAGTACCTTTAATGGAACAAAGAATAACCCTTAGAAATGAATCACTTCTAGTTTGTCCAATAATGTATTGAAATATGCATCTGTTTTCTGCACACAGTTGATAGGGTGTTAGCAGAGTTCAGTTCTTTGCCCAAGCTGCTGGGTTGGATCTTCAGCTTCCTTTCAGATTTGCCAGTGCCCATGGCTTCCTTCTGACTTCTATTGCACTTCAGCTCCACCAGCTACTCTACTCTCCTTGAAAAGTACTGAATGTAGCCTTTTATTTACACCAGCCAGGCTCTATCACCATCATCACAATTTGGGTTAAATTCCATCCTCCTGTTGTTTACAGTTATGAGTCAATAAGATGATGTAGAATGTCCACGAACAGATTAGTTAAAATAACAGACTTTTGATGCCTTTGATTCTGCATATAAAGTCAAGAACCTCCCCAAAACAGACCCATTCCCCTCTTGATACAATAAAACAGGTAGTTTAACTGCCTGTTAGTTTGACTTCCATACAGTGTATACCTCTAGCTCCTTGCAGAAACATAAACCAGTTTTCAGTTAACCCTTTACAGACATTGTCTTGTTTGATATGATATAGCATTCTTATAACTTTATGCAGGTGAGCTTACTTCTGTTGCATGTCCTTGACCACACAGTGGACAAACTAAAACAGGCTAGTGATAACACTGTGTATGTGTTTTTTTCTGAATGCTGAATTTGTTTTTTGTTTTTTAAAAAAGTTTCAGGAAATAAGCCTAAATATTGAAGTCATCTTGGGAAACCAAGATACCTTGCATTGTAATCTCAAATACATAAGAAGGGGATTACATGTAGTGTCTTGCTAGTGTAGGTATATAGATCATTTGCACATACTGTAACATGGTTCTCTCTCTCTCTCTCTCTCTCTCTCTCTGTGTGTGTGTGTGTGTGTGTGTAAAAGTCCAGATTTCGTTGGAGGGTATATTATTTTATTTCTCCCTCAAGTGTGATATTCCATACTGTTTCACTAGTAAGCTCTAGGGTGTTGTCTGTTATCAGAAGATGCCAGTGTATTTGACTAGTATCTTGCATTAGATGTTTTGTTATGGGACTGAGCTCTCCAAAATAGATTCTGGGGTTGGGTAAGCCTGATAAGCTTTAGTTCAAATTAATCTTTGGATGTGGCTATTTATAATTTGTTTGTTGCATTAACATTTTGAAAGTTGGCTACATATAATGGATGTGAAAGTCTGCTGAACTGTTAAGTTTTCCTTGTATCGTGTAAGAAACCTGACAAGGTTTCTGTTATGTTCAATTAAAACTAATGCATTTGCTAAAACAGTACATGATGCCTGTAAAGTCAACCCATTAAATGATGAGTTGCTGTGTTAAATCAACTGACAAAGGTAAAGAAGTCCACATACAGCTGTGCTATTGATTAAATGACTATCACTGTTATAGAAAATGGATTTTTTTCTTTCGCTTTCCTGAGTTTAAATTAATATGTAAACAGGTCTCTCTCCCCTTTAAAAGTGTTAGGATTCACAGCTCAGCTGCCTCTGAAGGCATCTTGACACAGTGCAAGGTCAACACTTTCTGTCATTATTCTTCCTTGCTGCAGAAAGGAGTTTTGTAGCAATCAAGAGAGCATGAGGTGGGATGCATCATACCTGACTGAAGCATTTAACACTGAGAAACAAAATGTCAGGGGTCTTAATTGATAAAAGGCATCAGTGAACACATGAACTGAATTCTAAACCAAAGTGAGGTTCTACAAACCAGTTTGTCTGGTCTATTTTAAACCAAATATGCTGAAGTACGTGCATTTGGACAGATTCATAGCCTCATAGGATGCAGCAAATCAAAATAGGTAACTAGTGCAAATTGCTAAGCATGGCAGATGAAGCAGTCACACACTAAAGAAAAATTCAGTGTCTTCTTTCCTGTTACACCTCATCTCTTATCTCTTACTCATCTACTAAAATTTTGCCACCAGGCTTTGGAATCTATTGTTACATGCCACCCCAATTTCTGAGCGATGCAATATTCCAAGGGTACCAGGTGTGCTTACGAGAGTCTGTGTTTCCTTTTGGATAACAGGCACAGCAGAGTCTGTGGTGTCTTTATGATATATGGTTTCTTTACACAGATAGACAACCTGAATCCAATGGAACCCAGCCTTACATTCAAAGAGGTTCTGGCCTCTCTCATAGCCACAGCATTGGATTCAAAACAGACATCAGTATCCTGCTTTTTTGACTCTCTCTCCAGCCCACTCAGTCCCTTAACTCTTAACTGCCATTCTAAAACACTGGCATTATCTTTAAAAAGTAAACCCTCAGTTGAGAGAGGCTGGAAGCCAACACATCTGCAGATGGGATTTGCCCTTTCATCCTTTGTGTCACCCAAATGGCTCATCCCCAGGCTAATACCTCAAAAGGAAATTAGCTGAGTTTTGTGAATTCACCAATAGCTTAGTTGGTTAAAGCATGGTACTCAGTAATGCCAAGGTTGCAGGTTCAATCCCTGTAACAGACAGCTGCATATTCCTTCATTGCAGGGGGTTGAACTAAATGATCCTCTACAATTCTATGATTCTAATAATCTTTAGCTTAATTAACAAGGTCTAGAAGTTAAGATATCCACCCAACATTTTATACCAAACCCAATGTTTTGGTTTCAAAAACCACTGCCTCAAAAGCTAGAGAAATATATTCCCACCCTTGAATAGACAGAGAGCTTTGGCTCATTTTTCCTTTAAATGAAGTGTGTGTTGTCTCTTTCTGTTCAGATATAGAAATGAACTACATAAATCATTAGGAATCATTATTTTGATTTGCTATGAGAGCCAGACTTAAGTTAATAATCACTGGGTTTTTTGTGTTCTGTACTTGAGGTAAGTTTTTCTGCCTATGTTGCTTTTGCTTCTACATAGTATTTAACATTCATACTTCTTTTGATGTGACTTCAAAGACTCCACAGCACCTGTTTTCTGTACCAGTTCTTTGATAGACACTACTGTATTGATGGGATTTTGGCAGCAGTTGTGTTTATCTAGATTGGAGGGGATTTACCTTTCAGCATTTCACAAAAAGACTGGCACGTTAATAATTTTGTTATTGTTTTTAGATGACTTTCTGTACAGTGTAATTCTTTTTTGTCTGGAACATTTAACATTTGTTGGCATGTCTCTTGCTCTGCAAATTGCTCAGATGTCAGTCTTGAATCAATTCTTCAGCTTGTGCCAGATATTTTTCTTTTGTTACTTAGTAAGAGGGTATCACATGAGATCAGCATTACATTATGACACATCAGTAATTACGTTAGCACCAGAAGATCCATTACTTTAATTGACTTGACTCTTAACCAGTTTGTAACACCAGTAAATTATGAGCTGCATTATGCATAACTGGCTGCTGGTTCTTGTTTAAAACAAGAAGAAAATATTATTTTGTTGTATTTGCAGTGCCATAACTCCAAAGGACAATTTGAAGGATGTTTAAGGGAAAGCTACAGCTCACTGCTTTATATGCAAAAGGTCCCAAAATTCTACAAATAGGCATGGGAGTGTCCCTGTTTGAAACTCTCAGCACAGAAAATTCTGAACTGGATAGACCAATGGTCCTCCATTCCATCCCAATCTGTTGCAGCCATGTAACAACATTTGCCCATAGCAGAATAGGTTGGACATGATGTTGGCACAGGAATGTCAACATCATTCCTTCTAATGTAAAACTGCCTAAGGCTCTTGAGTTATTACTTGGGGACAGCTGAGTAAGAGTTGCATGATTTAAGTAAACACCAAAGACATTGCAAAAGCTATCACTTTCCTCTTGTAATTTATTCTTTTATGTTTGTAGCTTCATTACAACTAATTGTGAAACAAGCATGTATATCAAATATATTGTTGTGGCTCTCAACTCTCGAAATTACCCATATTTTAAAATTCATCATGTTCAAGTCAAACCATCATGCTTTCTGCCTAGAGAGTCATGTTGGGGATATGAAATGCCTTATTTGAATGTTGCCCGTCCACACACACACACACGCACGCACACACACACAGTGCAAACACAAAACAGTGCCTTTAATTAAAAACAGGGTGGCATTTTGGAGGGGGTTGGAAAAAGATAAACCTGAGCTAGTGCATTAGCAGTTAATGTTAACAATACATTTCGTTTTGAAATGCATTAGCATATTTCTAGTATCAACATGTTTTCCAGTTTGAACAACGGATAGCTTCTTAACTTTTAAGAAGATTTAACATAAAATTGTGACTTGGAGAGACATTGTTTTGATGTTCTGGGGGCATCTTATAATGCTCAGCTTGTTTTATTCATCATAATAAAAGCTTATCACTACATTTCAGGAAGTCAGTCATGCTGTCTTAGTTGCTTGTGTTTAGTGGTAGAAGAACCTGAGAACTGAAAATGCACAGCACCAGAATTAATTGCATTTGTCTTTAGTGTCTCTTGTTAAACAAAGTTGATGGAACTGTCAGGCAAAATGATCTTGTAATGTTTGATCACCAGACAGTCTACAAAAGTGGGTAGTTGAAATATACTGTAACATGTAAGGAATAAATGATTACATTTGTAGCAGTAAAGCAAATGACACTTTACCTCCAACAATGACAACGTAGCAATGTAAAAAGACATAATGGAAATCTTGACATTATTCCTGTAAAGCTATGCTCTTTGGGAGTCTATGGACTTAAAAAAATAAATAAAAATAAAATCAAATCCTAGTACCCTACCTAAATTCAGACTTGTTAATATAAAAACTGTTGTTTTGGATGTCTACCCATCACTTTGGAACAGATAGACTAGAGAGAGAAGAGGGAGAAGTACCATTTTGCAGGTCCTTTCACTAATGAGATGACTTTGTTGGATACAACCCTACGTATTTATATCAAATACTTAAAGTGACATAGCAAAGATAAGATAAAAGGGAAGAATAGATCTAAGTATGAAAGTATCATTTAAAAAACCCTTTGCTGCATTTTGATATACTAGAAAATGTTACATTCTGTTCATGGTTTTCTTCTAAGTGTTTACATTTCTGCAAATACATTAAGTAGTTAGAGTAGACTGACATCGTGAAAACAGTGCAACAGTGTTAATACAGATGTAAATGTCACCTATTCCTGTTTACTTAGAAGTATTATTCTAGTGGGTTCAATGAGAATATCTCTAAGGTAAGTGTTTATAGAATCATCAGTGTAAGGTTTGTTTGTTTGGCTAACTATATAAATGCACCTAAATTAATTGTAAAGTGTGATAAAAATGCTTTGTTTGCATTTCCTACTTTTATGGTGGTAATTTATCTCTGAACCTTCAAATGTAATTTGCTACTTTACATTATTGAGGAGTGGTTAATTAAAAACTATACAGATATTTATTGTCTCTTTCTAAACAGTTGGAAGAATTTATTATCATTGTGTCTTTTACACTATTACTTTTTATTGCTTTGTACTGCACATGTTGAGTTTTAATTGTAGTATTCTCCATTTCATTAATTTCAAATTAAATATTAAATTGTAATGAAGATTCAATCATAACGTCTAAAAGGTTGAGAGAGACTGCAGTCTAGGACAATAAGTAGATGAAAATATTATTCTTTCTTATTTTGATCCTTTATATTTTATATAAAGTTACCTCTTCACAATCAGTATTTGCCTTTATCTGCGTGTAACATAATTGATGTTTTCAGTGGTTTGCAAACTTAATTCACAGAACTTTCTTCACCTTATTTCATCTCCCTGCATGTCCACCACCCTGCTGCATGGCAAAGTTTTACTGGGAGTTGTCCAGAGCACATGAGTTGTCTCAGTTGGCACTTGGGGGCACTTGGCAGGCTTTGGGGCTTAGCTGTCATTTCTTGTAAGCCATCAGTGCATTCATTTACCCTTCCCCCACCTCACATCACTGGATGTCATTTGCAAGGGCTGGGCAAGCCATAGCTCAATAATGTCAAGTCATATATCGGCCTGCTTCACACATCACACTAAGCCAAGGCCAGATTAAGGTGGTTGGGGGCCCTGGTGTGATTTCCAAATTAGGGGCCCCTTCTATGGTACTACAAAGTAAGTCAATGTGGCATCTTAAAGACTAACAAATTTATATTGGTATATGCCTCTGACATATAAAAATTAATAATACTCTTGTTGGTGGAGCATCAGAACTAGGGCTGGGTGATATCAGCTTTTCAACCTTGCGATGTATCAGCAGCTAGACATCGTAATTTGGTGATACATCACAATGTTGAAAAGGAAGGAGCATCATTTGGCCCTGGCCCTGTGAGGTGCTGGAGTGAAACCTCTGCTGCCCTCTCTGCCACCCTCTCCACTGCCCCCTCCACCACTAGCACCTGACATGGAGGATGGAGGAAGGAGGAAGGAGCATCATCCCAAGCCCTGCTGGGGTGAAACAACCTTAGCTTCCTACATCACCAGTGCCCAATGCAAAGGAAGGAACAAGCAGCATCAGTCCCCTTCCCATGAGGTACCGGTGTGAAACAGCCTCAGCTCTCTCCACCATGTTCTCTTAGAATGGCATTTGAGAGGTGCTGAACTGAGTTCTAGTGAGTTCTGGCTGAAAAACAACAACCCTGTTTATAATCTTGAAACTATCCAAATTCAATCAGTGAATCATTCAAAACGCAATTGCTATGAAGAAAGCCTCCCACACTGAACATAATGGGACTTGATTGTGGGGCCTGAAGCAACAGGGATCTCCTCTCCTGGAGCCCACACATTCACATTTATGCTAAGCCATGGTTTGGCTTAGCATGACATGCAAACCAGGCCATTGTATATAAGACAGAACTGTGTGCAATGTGATACCCTTAATATGCTGCTTCCAGCACTTCTAAAACCAAAGCACCAGAGTAGCAGTACAAGAAGCATCTTAGACTGGGAAATGCATATGTATTCTCTTTCCCTTTCTGTATGGACACTGCTGCTATGATTTGGTACTCCAGTTGCCTGTTACTTTGCCATTAAATGTCTTTATTTAAGATCCGGCTTAGATGGCTAAATTTACATGCACAACCAAGCATTTTAACTAAACAAATTGAAACATAAACCTAGATTAACAAAATGCTCTTTGCTAGTACCAAACCTTTTGGATGATTATAGGAACAGCGTCCAATGTTCTTTCTTGCAGTATACATGGTGATCAGAGAAGTCTGCTGTCCAGGCTTTCTTTCTTTCTTTTCTTTCTTTCTTTTTTCTTTTCTTTCTTTCTGTCCAAGGTTTTCTTGTCACTGTGGTTTTGTTTTTATATGCTCCTACAAACAAACAAACAAACAAACAAACAAACAGAAATATATTGAGAACTTATGTTACTTGCATCTTGTCCTTTACTTATGTGTTAAAATTTTAGTCACAGAGGCAAAGAATACCTCTGATAAGGCTCTGCTTTTCCTATTGTATCATAAAGCTGTTCAGAACCAAATGCTATCATGCATTTTAATAAGGGATTTACAGAGAACAACTACTGAAGTGCATTATTTCTACTTCAGATGCTTAGACATAGATTACT